GATTATGCAAGATTATGCAAACATACTCTAGTAATTAAAAAGGCTAATAGCACTTGTATAATCATCACAGTAATAGTCATAACATAAGAGACTATGACAATTCTAAGAAGAATAGGACTAATGATTTCTACACAGCCGTTCACATTTATTGTTTTGTCATCTGTCATTTCTATGTGCATGCAAGGTGCCGCAGCGCGCAAATTGCAGCAGCTAAAAGGGACTCCAAGACCTCTGTAGTCTTCGTCCGAAATTCTGTTTTGTTGCGCCATTTCCTCTCGAGATGCGTAATCTACTTTCTTGTAAAAAATATATATTATAAATGTTATATAAATATATTTTTTTTATTACTCTCTTTTTTCTCTTTTATTTTTCTATAGTAAAAAGAAAAATTGTTTATTATATGTATATTTTTAAAAAATTTATTCAAAAATATAATAAAAATGAAACAATAAATTATAAAATACGCGCATTACTGTAAACATACATATACTTATCTCAAAAATTTTCAATTTTTAAGAAAAAATTAAATAACGAAAAAAATATTATTTTGGAGTTTGCAACACAGATAGTAAATCAATAACAAAAACAGACTGTTCATTCATTGTTCGATGAATTAAAAATAGTCTGTTTATTCATCATCATTCGACGAATCTTCTCGAATGTTTTGGTATCTGCAAACGAGGTCGACATATAATATTGGAAAATTACCTGCCAGTCGAAGAGAAACCAATCAGTATAAGAGGAATGACCGCAACATTGCAACACAAATTGGATCTCGTCGATCGCGTATTTATGTGATGCAGCAGTGGTATATAGATGCATGGAAACGTTGAAAATATCGATTAAAGTTTCTTGTTTTACACTAATGTGATATCCTATCAAAGCTAATGTCGTTGTATTCATAGCAATACATATAATTATCATTATCAAAAGACACTTCAGCACCTGCCTAATCTTTGAATAAAGATTCGATTTGCGTCTGCAAGAATGCATTCATTATTACAAGTTACGCAAAAAAAAAATGTCAAAAGGAGTAATAAACATTATTGTAATAAAAATATAATTAATTAATATAATTTTATATAATAAACAACGTATACAGTATACAACATATGCAGTAGTAACATAGTATATGTGTGTGTGTGTGTGTGTGTGTGTGTGTGTGTAATAACATAGTAACTTATTTTATATCTTATGTAATCAATAATAATGTAATTAATCAATAATGTAATTAATAAACCATTACAATATATAGTTGTTTTTTTGATTGATTCATCTTCGATATAAATCGAAAATATTTAATCTGTTTTTTATATATTATTTTTGATTTGCTAATCGAAGAAAAATCAATTGTACAGGGTGCATCACCAAAATCTGGACAAATTGAACAATTTCTTTTTAAACAAAATGTTTTTAATGAAAAATTAAATATTACAAAAAATCTTTTTACATGGCACTTGGGGAATCCCTGTAAAACACAATTATTCAATATACCCCCCATTAGCTTGAATAGTCTCTATTCTCGGTTTGAAGCGTTTCGCACGCACGCTATAATGTAGCACTGTTCATGCCAACAAATGCTACCTTGATAGCGATCCTTAATAATGTCACATTGGGATGGCGAGACATGTTTGTGACCCTTTCAACTACGTAGTAGTCCAAGGGATTTAAATCTGGACTGTTGGGAGACCAGAATGGGAGGCGAGCAACTTGGCTTGTCCTGGCAACCTCAGAAAGCATCTGTCGTATCTTTAATGTGTACGATTTATATCGGAGATCCTGCTCGGCAATTCGACGTATTGTTAGCTCGCTTACATTAACAATCGATGCTAATTTTCGATAATTAATCGCAATTGCCCTGGATCCGAAATCAGCACTTGAGCCCTTTTTGACGACTGCGGGGATCCTTATGTTCTTTCGAGTAACTCTTCTTCGCTGGCATATTGGAACCTTTGTTGGACTGTTCTAAAGCCATATATTTTGCCATAACGTCATAAATGGTTGATCTCGGATATCCAAAGAATCGAATTATTTCCGTTGCTGAGCGCCCAGCACGAAGGCCTTCGATGATCGCGGCTCTATGATTATATTCAGCAGTTGGTTTCAACATCGCGGCCATTTTGAAAATGTGATTGTTTATTAGAAGCATCAGGTTTTCTCGGATGCTAACAACTTCTGGCGGAGGCATAATATAGTAGAAAATTTAAATTTGAAATTTATCCAGATTTTGGTGATGCATCCTATATATTATCGTAGAGATATATTATCATAGGAAAAATAATTATATTATATATCATAAAAATTTTTTAATTAATAATTTTATGAATAAATGTTATATCTTCAAGTGCATATCTCACTTATTCATTCATCCTTGCGAGACGAGCATTACCTGCGTATAGTGCGTACGATGATAAGGGCGCACGGCAATCCTAGAGCCACATCTACCAAGGTAAGGGCGACCGGCTGGAAACCACCTGCGATACGAATCACCTGCCATTCTGTAAATATCTCCAAGGCGATCACGAGGAAACGCTTCACCTCGAAGACGGCCAGCGTGAAAGCTACACCATAACCGAACTTTATTTCCCATTCGCAGGTGCAACGTACTCTTTTGCGGTAAACCAGGCTGTGACCGTTTTCTGTCATTCAATGGTTGCACGCGCCTATTTTTATTTTATGAATAATTCCATTTTATTATGTTATTTTTTTCTTCCTCTAAGTGTCTCGCGTGTAAAATAATAGCTATGAAACGTATCTAAAAAGTTCAAACAGAATTAAATACGTTCAGAGAGAGTGAATTATCACGCTATCGACGAAATAATTTTTAAGTTAATTATTAAATTAAGTTAACTGAAAACATTCTAGAAAATTTATGGCATTTAATATAATTTTATGTACATTGTTCCTACATGTTGTAAAATTTGTCTACAACTAGATACGTGTAACATTTTTTACATGTATTTAACTGAAAAAACAAGACTCTTGTGTAATAAATAGTAATTGTTTAAAATTATGCAATAATATTCTTTTATTCTACTGCTTGTCACTATTTGAAGCAGATACCTTTGTACATTATTTCGCAATGTCGAATTGTCACGGACGCACTGCAACTGCCGCAAGTACACTGTTTATTACTCATCATTGTTACACATACCGGAAGAGATATGTAAAGAAAAAAGTTGTTTTGACGAGATATAATTACATGCGACGGGGCTATAATTGACGTGACGTGCAAATAGGTCACGTTTGCATGTATATATTACACGTGTCCTAAAGTCATTACCACAACAATTGCGCAAATTATATACTATACATTCATCTCAAAATATCTAGAAATATTGCTTTTTGATGAGCGAGAAATTTCCTTTCTTAATAAGCCTTACTTATATATTTAATCATGATTTTGTCAATTAATAAATATTTATCAATAATTAAAAAATGATTTATCATAATACAAAGGAGGAGAAAAAATATTTAAAAATAGAAAAATAAAACAATTTCCAGTAGAAATAAAACAATTGCGAAAAAAGTATCCTTCTTTTTAATATTAATATCTAATAATATCATTATCTTTTCATTATATCAATTATTATACAAGGATTATTTTAAAGAACAATTTTAAAAAAAATTTGTTTTTTAACACAAAAAATAATATATCGAAGTATGATATATCTATAAACTTCCATATATAGATTTAGACTTAATTATAATATCGTGCTCAATATCACATTTTAATACTTCATTAATGTTTAATGTTGAATAACATCAATTGAATAATCAGACTTCATTGTAAGTCAATATAAATTATGAGATTATTCAAGACAATTGAGTTTTCGTTCTTTAAGAATATTCAGATAAAAACTTACCGATAAGCATCGTGCACTAAAATAAGATAATTTCTTGAATCTTCAAGCCGAATATGTATGTGGTTTTGGTTATGATTATATTCATATAAAATATAATAAAATGTATAACGTGAAGATCACTTCTATGTTAAGGTGATGACATGCGCACTACATTGTCGCTAGGTCGATATCTCGAGATTGTGTTAAATAAACAAAAGAATATTACAATAAAATATTAATTAATAATTATTGTTCGATTTATAGTTCATATTATATTTTGTTCAATACTAAAATATAGTTATGCAATAAGTAAAATGTTTTGAATCTATTAAAGTAGAGGAAAATCACCAATACTGAGATAGGTCTTCTAAAGTGATACCCTCTTATTTCTCAGAAACTAACAATTGCACTTTATTAATATTAATAAAATCATGATCTGTTTAGCTTAAAGTACAAATATATATACTCATAATTCGTATATTTATCGTGGCTTATTTCTATACTAAATCAAATAAAAATTCTATGAGTGTGAAAATAAAATTCTTACAGTTCTCTTTTATAAATTACGTAATTTAAATAACAGTAATTATATTATTGATAATATTATTTTTATATTTATTTATTCTAATTTATTCTAATTCTTGTAGTTTCCTAAATCAGTTTTTTATTTATATTATTTTTTCTCTTAATTTTTTCATAATACGATTTTAAATATGAAATTGGAATGCAGCGTAAATCGCCACACCTATCTGTAAATCAGATCATGAGCTAACTTATTCTTTATAATGTTGCTTTATAGTGTCAAATAACTCTATTGGAGCTGAAAACAATCGTACATATATAAAATAATTCTTGAAAAACTATTGCGATACATATTTGCATCTTGCAGAACAGTAATAAAGTAAATATGCGTATAATTCAATACAAATATTTTATAATGAAGAGAGTGAAAAGATTCTAGAATATCTAGAATATCTTATATACATTCACTTGTAAGTACTCTATGCAGATAATTCCTGTAAAAGAAAAAGAATAGGCATACATAGCATTATTGCCTATTGTGTCAGTGTTTTGGAGCCCATTTTGTCAGACGCTCATTTTTGCTTAACTTACGAAAAAATTAATTATTGCAAAATTGCAAACAATATTATAAAAACTGCTTATACTATCTAATGGAAGACATTTTTTACTTATGTTTTTAAAGTTTTATTTTTACTATTTGTTTAAGAAATATTGTCTAAAAACAAATGTATATATGTTATATAAATATGTTATATAAATATGTTATATAAATATGTCGGTATCGGCGACTTTCCTCTACTTATAATACGATTTCGAAACTTAAGCAAACTTATGACAATAATGAGAACGTAAAATGTGCCTCGTATCAATACGTTTCATGCTGGGCAAATTTTAAGTGACGTCGTGTATTTGTTAGATAATATATACTTTATAATAATATATACTTTATAATAATTTTACATGATTTTATATAACTTAATATGCATAATTTCCAATTATACAGAATGTAAGAATTAAACAAATGTAAATTTAACGATATGTTTTGTAAGTAAAAATATTATGTACATAATTTATATTTTGTATATAATTTAATCATCAAGTCATCAAAGTTCGCATATGAATTTTTAGTAAATTAAAATGAAATATGCCAAATATTACTCCTATGTACTATCATATCCCAATTTAATAAAAATCCTGACATGATACGCAAATTTTGATGATGGTATCTACTACTTGATGAATAATCATCGTTAACTTTTTCTTTAGTGTTTTAGTAGTTTTTTCATTCTCCTCTCTTAATATTATTATTATAATATATTTCTAAATATAGAATAATTTAATCTTTAAATTAATTTCTCACATCAATATATTTAAAAAACTTATCCATTGATCGTTTTTTTATTTATGTAACGTGTTGCTATTACAACTTTTTATATCTATAACAAAATCAAACATATTAATTTTTGAAAGAAATAAATTGATTGATTTTTCAAAGCTTTTCTTTTACAGTAATCATTTTATAACTTTAATTAGAATATTAACAAATATATACTGTACCTAATTTTTAGTTCTTGATTAGTGATGTCTTTTTACGTCACTTTTTCATAACCAATGTGAATACAACAACAATCAATCCATATATATATATATATTTATTTATACTTATTATACATATAGTCAATATGCTTAGAAGACTGTATTAGCAAAATGCATATACACTGTCGAAAAAGTATTAAATAACAAGAAGGTGGAAGGAACTTATAGAGAAAAGTCGCCGATATCGACTTCGTTTTTAGACAATATTTCTTAAACAAAAAGTAAAAATAAAACTTTAAAAACATAAGTACAAACTGAAAAGTGTCTTCTATCAGATACACAGTATACACAGTTTTTATAATACTGTTTACAATTTTGCAATAATTAATTTTTTCATAAGGTAAGCAAAAATGAGGCAAAATGGGCTCCAAAACTGACAATAGGCAGTAATGCTACGTATTCCTATATTTTTATTTTACAAGAATTATCTGTATAAAGTACTTACAAGTGAATGTATATAAGATTTTCTAAAATCTTTTCGCTCTCTTCATTATAAAATATTTGTATTGAATTATATGCATATTTATTTTATGCTGTTCTGCAAGATACAGATATATAATGCGATAGTTTTTCATATATGCACAATTGCCTTTAGTTTTAATAGAATTATTTAACACTATAAAGCAACATTATAAAGAATAAGTTAGCTCATGATCTGATTTACAGATAGGTGTGGCGATTTACGCTGCATCCCAATTTTATATTTAAAATTGTATTATGAAAAGACTAAGAGAAAAAATAATATAAATAAAACTGATTTAGAAAATTATAAGCATTTAAAATGACGTAATATTATCAATAATATAATATATCATTATTATTTAAATCACGCAATTTGCAAAAAAAAAATGGTAAGAATTTTTCGTAAAATTCATAAAATTCATTGTTAGCCAATTTGGTATAAAAACAAACCAAACGAATTGTGAATTTGTATTTCTTTAATTAGCTAAATAGATCTTGATTTTATTAGTATTAATAAAATGCAATAATTAATTTCTGAGAAATAAAGAGATGTCACTTTAGGAGACCTATGTCAGTGTCGGCGATTTTCCTCTATATATAATATTCAAATATACATGTGTGTATGTATATATATATATATAATATATTTGTGTAATAATCTGCTCAAGTTTAAGAAAAATCAAAAAGTATATTTATATAATTAAATGACAAAATGTATCTTAGAAGTGTTTCAAAATGCTTAAAAATAAAAATATGTTATAATAAATGCCATATATAATAATAAGGCTATTGTGTATTGACATATTAATATCATTATAAATAACGCCAAAATATATCTAGAAGGCGTACATTATATGACGTATGCAATATTATTTATTTTGTATTATATAATGCGTATTCAAACCTTTATTCGAATGTCATGTGAGACATTATTGAAATGTGCGAAAAGCTAAAATATATGCAAATATATGCAGTTAATAGAATAGATATTCCATTTAAGTTTTTATATTACAAGTTTGGAAGCTCAAGCAAATTTTTCAATCTAAAATATGATTTATAACGTAAGAAAACGCAAATATTATATAAAAATATAAAAATATATACTTAATAAGCACATATTATCTGCAAATCATTTTAACAATACTAATTAATAATTAAATATTACTTTGAATATTTCTTTCATTTTCAGATTATAGATTAAAAGCTCCAAAATCTAATTATATAATGACATTATAATAATTAGATACTATTAAGTAGTATGCTTATAATTACTATAATTACTCTGTAATTATATTAGGTGTAGTAAAAAGAAATCCATTATTTTTGCATGAAATTGAATGGAAAAATAATGGATTTCTTTTTATTATACCTAATATTAATTTTATTACAATATATATTTTATTATACATATTGATAAACGCCACATCTATGTGTAAAATTGTGAAATGAAATATTGTTTATTTTTTCAAATAATTTTTTCAATAATTTTTACCTAACATGACTGTATATTATTTCTTTTGTAAAAATCTCTTTCTTTGTAAAATCATTTATTACTTCGCGGTAAATTATTATTATTATATATTAATATTTTCTAGACAACAAAAGAATCTGACACGTCATAAGTCATAAGATATTTTTGCGTCTAAAAGATAACTTAAAGACGTCACAATTTTAGATCTTGTATTGTTTGACACATATAATGAATTAATTATACAATAATTACCTTTAGATTTTTCTTTTATTGAAACATCTTAATCTGATATCTTGTGTTCTTCGATTAAATTCTCAATCAAAATGATAATTAAATATATTGACTTTTGTGTACTGTTTCCCGAATTTTAAGTAAGCAGAAATGGAAAAATATTTTGTACTATAAATTGATAAACGCATTAAACTATTAAAAATCGCACGAAAGAATGGAGACCACCAAGCATCAGGTCGCATTAAATATTTCAACACAAAGTGATACGTGTTGAACATATACCAGCTGTAAAACGGCATAGATGAAGTATCTGAAAATATATTATTATATATACATAAATGATTTAAATTTATTCAACACCTATGATAACCTATTTCTTTATTAATGTAGATTAACTTTAATCTTGATTTAATGCGCAAGCAACATTTATATCTATATCTATATCTATATCTATCGATATTTTATATCTATCGACATAACATGTCTGACAAAAAATTTAGAAATATCGAAGAAATAGGAAAATGATTTGATAAATTTATCGCAATAAATAAAGACTAATCTTTCTATTGAGTCAGAATCTTATAACTTGCCTAAAAAGTGGAGAAAAGTAGTTAAAATAATAATGATTATTTTCATGACTAAATTATGTTGATATGTTTTGACAATGAATATTAAATTTTATAAAAAATAATGGATTATTTGTACATCTAAACTTTGATATGAAAATCTTGAATAAGAAATCGTATTATCAATATCAACACGCTTAAGGAGCTGTATTAGTAAAATGTTATTTGTACATTTAACTCTGCATAACTCGAAATATGTACAGTCAAATAAAATGTTAAATAATGAACAAAACACTCAAATGTACATATAATATTCATGTAATGATACGCTCAAGTTTAAAGAAATCAAGAAGCAGATATAATTAAATGCTTAACGCGGTACTTTCCAAATATTTCGAAATGCTCGAAAATAGAAATATGTTGTAACAAATGTCATTATAACAAGGCTTGTGTATTGACATATTAGGGCCATTGTGAATAATGCCTTTATGCCTACAAGGTCTATTATAATCTTCTTATCTATATACATTTTTATTATTTATCGTATGTAAATGATATGTATATACGTATATATATATATATACGTATATAT